AGGTAAGGCTCAGTAGCATCTCAAGTTTTACATCGTGAGAGATTTACATTTATTAAGTGCAAAGAATTCGCATAAGTTAGCTACTACTTGGTTTATGCATTGAAATGTTTTATGCATATGAAAATCCGTGAACTCACCAACTCTTTGTAGTTGACTTTGTTTTATTCCATGCTTTTCAGGTTCTAAGTAAAGTATTTGGATTTTGGGACCATACTTGAGCATGGATCGATTAAGTCAAGATTTTGAAGTGTTTTGAGAACGTTGTGTAAAATTCTAATTTTAGTTATGTCGATGAACTACTTTGTTTTTGGAAACAACTTGGTATGGTGTTATTTATAAACTGTTGCTATGACTCGCTTGCCTGTTACATCTCGTGTTTCTGCTTTAGCGAGGTGTGACAGATTTGGTATCAGAGCTGTAGGTTATAGAGAACACCAGTTTTCTAAGAAAACCATACACTATAACCCAAAATTATACGAAATAATTTTTTTAAAAAGAGTCGCAAAAATTCAAAATGGACATACTACTAATATAACTAGAACGAGTGACTTCTTAGCATACTCTAATTAGACAGAGCCTGATCACCTGTGTCTAATTAAGCATGTATAAGGAGAGACGCGGATCGGTTATGTTAGGTGTTTGTCTAAAAGTTAAGGACTTCTTACTCAATAAGAAAAGCACGGTTCGCATATGTGAGTTTGTATAAATTTTGTATCTTTTTGTCATTTATTATGATTCGTTTAATAATTTAAATTTTTTTTATTTATTTACATATCGCAGCATTATGTCGTCAGAAAATGAATATTCGAACTCCGGAGACTACGATCCCTCAGAGCACGGCTACGATAGTGGCAACGATGTCACTGAATCTTCAACGTGATCACCCACCCCACAGCCGCCTCGCTCTGTACCCGCGCATCCTATAGCGCCACACGAAGTTAGAGTTCGGGCCACCACCCAAAAGTGCATTCCTCTACCTGTGAGGGTGTCTTTCTCCGCCCCATCTGGAGCCATGAGGGAGCCATCTCGGTCACGCACTCGTAGTGTAACACCCCCACCCACTACTAGGACCACATAGGAGCGCTCTCCGGGTATGACTACCCTGGAGAATTTATGGGTTTTGGGCATGGCTCAAGATCTTAAGATGTGTCAACTTAGGCTGGAGCATTATCGACACTTCGCCGATGGAGTGATTACAGCCCTAGGCACTCAAGATAATATGATGGATCGCTCATTAGAGTTGATTTTCATCGCTAGGAGAGCGATTAGGAGGTTGCACACTTATCTGGCGGTGTTAGCAGGAGTTCTGATGATAGTGATGGGGTTGCTTATTTGGAGTCTTATGCGTTAGAGGACTTTATTTATTATGTTTTTGATGGTGGAAATTTAAGATTTTCTTTTGAGGCTTGTAGCTGTGATTTGTGAAAAAAATTTCTTTTATATTGCACATTTTTATTTTATTTATGTATCCTATGAGATTTTGTCTATGGATGGTTAAGTTTTGTTGATTATCGATTTAATGCCTTTACTATTATAAGTTATTATATTATTACCTTGGTTACATGATTAGATGATTGTAACATATCGTGCAACACAGTGGTAAATAGTGAAGTAACTGAACTTCGACTTAAAAAATTTGTGCATTAGAAATATGCCTCCAAGAAGGAGTACTCGCAGCACGAGAGAAAATCCTGAAAGCCAAACACCTGATATAGCGCGGTTGATAGCTCAGCAAATTCGGGAGGCAGTACCAACTATTGTCGCTCAGGTTACAGCGGGCATTAATGCAAGTCAAAGGAGTGAGGGAAGCCCTAACACCGAGAATCCCGTCAGGGAGGAGAACTGTAACACCAATGATAGAGGATGCAGTTACAAGACATTCATGTCCTGCAAGACCAAGGAGTTTCATGGTAAAGAAGGTGCAATTGGATTACTATCATGGATTGAGAGCATGAAGTCGGTACTCCATATTAGCAAGTGTTCCGAGGACTGTAAGGTGAAGTATGCAACATGCCAACTCCAAGGAAGAGCCCTAACTTGGTGGAACATTCAAGTTCAAACCCGTGGTCGCCAAGCTGCCTATGAGTTATCATGGGAAGAACTCAAAAATTTGCTCATCGAAGAGTATTGTTCTAAKAGCGAAATTCAAAAATTGGAAGTTGAATTCTGGAATCACACCATGATTGGAATGGAGGTGGACAAATACACAGCTCATTTTCATGAGCTTGCCAAATTAGTACCTCATATGGTCACTCTAGAGGAGAAACGAATTGATCGGTACATCTGGGGTTTGGCACCTGAAATCCGAGGGATGGTCACTTCGGCAAACCCAACCAATATACAAAACGCAGTGGTGTTGGCAAATCGTCTGACAAATGATGCAGATAGATCAGGGATTTTAAAGCAAGACAAATTTGGTGGAAAGAGGAAACTAGAGGGGCAATCGTGGAAAAGGACCAACAACGATTTAGGCAAAAACCAAAAAGTGATAAGAAACTTTGGGGCTCAGTCTCAAATAGGAGAAAAGGGCAAGGGAACTTACCGTAAATGTGGCAAGTGCAATTATCACCATAGCAAGAGATGCATTATTTGTTTCAAATGCAATAAAAGAGGTCATTTCGCTAAAGATTGCAAGATCAGAGAGAATCAATCATGCCATAAGTGTGGAAGCCCGAATCACTTCAGGAATGCATGCCCGAAATTGAATCTAGTGTCAGCTACTAACCCAACACGACCAATCAATCAAGGAAATCAAGGAGGCCAAGCACGAGGTCGAGCATTTACAATTGGAGTGGAAGAAGCCAGGCAAGACTCAAATGTGATCACAGGTACATTTCTTCTGAATGACCATTACGCATCCATACTATTTGATTCTGGAGCAGATAGAAGCTTTGTATCCCTAGAATTTAGACCAAA